AGTGTTCTTTCGAAGAAATTCACGATCTAGCTATAAGTCCAGTCAATAATATCCAAAATTGATTTTTCATGATAATACATCTTCACAACAATTATTCAGATGATACAATAAGATGTTTCTCAGTTGAAAATGGGAAATTGATTTATTAAATTCAGTGTTCCTGTTGACTCTGGTGAACTTTAATGGAGGAGTTGAACACATCTGGCCATTACTCTGGAAGTATTTCAACTAAGAAAGGTTGGGCATTAAACACACAGATCTTGAAATGATTAAAATTAATCTTTTAATTCTGATCTTGATAGGGTATTACTTAAATATTAACAGACATTATCAAATTAAGATTTAGATAAATATTTTACTCTATGAAAAGCAGCAATACAAAAGCAATGCAAAGCTTTGGTTGACTTTATGTAGTGAACAATTTCAGCTAGCTCACCCTGCTAAATATCTGACAAATGACAAATTACAAATCTCAACACTTGCTGCTATCAGGGTTGAGCTACATTTTGCAAGTATCCACCTCTTGCTAAAACAGTAACCAAAGTGTAAAAGAGAGATTTTTTCATAGTCAATGTTTCAGTGTACGTTTCTGTAGTAATAGGAAAATGAAGATCATAAGAACTAATAGGAACAGAGATAACAAGGTGTAGAGCTGGATAAACACAACAGGCCAAGCAGCATCAGAGGAAAATATGTTATTTAACTATTTATAGAGTCATACAGCACAGAAATAGACCCTTCAGTCCAGCCACTCCATGCCAAACTAGTCCCACCTGCCTGCTGCTGGCCCACAGCCTCCAAACCATTCCTATTCATATATCTATCCAAATATCTTTTAAAAACATATAAAATAAAACAAAGAACTGCAGATGCTGGAGATCTGAAACAAAAATAGAAATTGCTGGTGAAACTCAGCAGGTCTGGCAGCAGTGGGAAGAAAGCAGAGCTACCGTTTCAAGTCCAGAGAATCTTCATCAGACTTCTGATCATGGGCAGCCAGTATCAGCCTATGTTAGGGACAGCAGGAAGAAAACATCTATTCTGCCTGCAATCCAGTAGTCCTTCTGACAGCAGATTGGGTGATCTTTGATTATTCACAACCTGGGGAGGATAGCATTTGATCCAGAGGTGGAGTTCTACCACATATCTTGCTCAACTCATCTGCTGCAGAAGCCCTCATCCATGCCTTTATTACCTGTAGCCGTGACCTGATCACCTTCCAATATTCCACCTTTCCATATTTAGCACATCCAAAACTCAGTTGCCTGTACCCTAACACAAACCAAGTCATGTGAACATATTGAACCTATCCTCACTGACCTACGGTGGCTCCCATTATCATCATGCTAAGATTTTAAATTCTCATCCTTCCTTTGGAAGCCATCCATGGTCTCACTCCCTCCCTATCTGTGTAGGTTTCTCCCTAAATATGACCCTCCACAACCTCTGCATTTTTCAAATTCAGACATATTGCACACTCCTAATTTCAATACTCTACCACCAGTGAGCCTGGCCCCAAATCTCCTCCTTAAATCTCTTTGACTTTATGACTTTCTTCAAAACCTAATTCTTTCGATTGGTTTTTGGCCATCTGCCCTAACCTTACTTTATGTGAATTGGTATCAAAGTTTGATCAGAATGCTCCTGTCAAAAAAACCACAGGACAATTTATGTTAAAAATGCTGAATAAATACGAGTTGCTGTTATTGTTGGACCTATTTCAAGTTTGGGTAAAAAAACTTGAGCACAGAAATCAAACAGTTCATTGCAGCATTGACCAAAGGGAGTGCTGCACTGTTGGACGTTCCTTCTTTTGAGTCGACTTCCTCAGGTAGACACAAAGAATGCACGCACTATGTCAAAGAGAAACAGGATAATTAAACTGGGTGCCCTGGATAATATTCATGCCTCAACTAAAAGAACTAAAATCAGATTACCTGTTCATTATCATGATGCTGTTTGAGAGGTCCTGTGCACAAACTGATATTAACATGGGCACACAGTCACTGCCTAGTGTCTCAAGACAAGCTGCTGGTGAATAGAATATCCTGGAATTATCTGATCTATTTCTCAAAGACCCCACACTGGCATCTCACATTATGACTGCAGGCTCTTGACTATACATGGATACTCCCAGGATGGTCATTTGAGATCAACATTCAATGACAATGGATGGTTTGTGACCTGATTCCATGCACCTGTCAGTGTCCAAATCTAGGAATACTTCTGGTTAACTCCAATCTATCAATCTCATTTTTAAAATTAACTTAAGTAGTATTATCAACCATTTGTTTGCGGAAGAGAGTTCCCAACCCTGCCGTCCTTTCTATGTCACGTGTTCATTCCTGCAAGGCGTACCTTCAATTTTAAAACCACAGGCTGAAGTTTTTTCAAACATCAGTTAGATGTAAATCCCTACACGGTTTCTCTCAGTATGTGCTAGCGTGTTTTTCCACACACTTCTCCACTGTTCAGCTCAATAAGTATGCACCGTGCCTCAACCGCGCCACTCACTCTATCTTAGCTCAACAGCAATATATAGGTACTCACTGACAAAGGAATATTCTGAGTATCCCGGCATTAGTATTTAAATCTCAGCTGTGGACTAGTTCAAACACTAAGCCAAGAAGTGCCCTTTACAGTAAAGGCAGTGAGAAGAATTGCCCCAGGTAGGGCCAACAAGGCAACTCTGAACATTACTGTCCTGGCCCTGATGGATGGAATGGTATGGAGTAGGGTCATCCTGTTTCCTTAGGGCTGTTAGGAGAGATAACGGTGCCAGTCTGGTCTGAAGCAACCACAATGGTTCAGTGCAATATCCACAGGCTGAAAGAACGCTCAGAAATTCCCAAGAATATTAATGACTTTCACAAGATATGTGCCAACATCTTCTCTCTGATGCTTTATACTCGCTTAAACTTGGCTAATACATACCCCATCACCAAAGCTCATGTTGCATGAAGATCTTCCTTCAATAGCCCTCGAACACATCATCCCCGTCCCATTCCCCAAATACTAACCCTGCATGCCTCTGTACTTCCTACTCCCTCACTTGGGGCAACTCACCAGTTTTTCCTAACTGCACCAACACCAGTTATACCATCCACTACCATCTCTCTCAATCCCTCCCTTTGTCTCAGAGCAGACGAAAATGGCCCACAATAGGGCAGAAAGGGCCAAGGCAGGTGGTGCACTGCACAACATTTTTCTCCTCATCCTTTACAAAAGATCCTTGAGCAAGCTTGCGGGAGAGTATAGCAGGGTTGCTGAGACACCAATGGCCCAGAAACTAAGTATGATTCATCATGTCATGCTGCTTTCCCTTTAGCCTTATAGTGCTACTCATTCCATCTCTTGTCTTCTTCAGGCACAAATGACATCTGCACAGGCTCTGCTTTGAAGCCCTTCTAGCCAGCACTTTCTCCTCCATTTCTGAGGGGAAAAAAAATCACAGACCTCTCTAAGGAAGCATCAGCAAGGCTGTCTCTGCACTCCCCATCAGCTCAGATACTAAAACCTCAGTGGTACATAAGCTTTATTACATATGGGAGCATGTTATGGTGAGCACATCACTGACATCCCCACAGCTGCTAGGGTTCAAGATATAGAAATGATTTCATAATTTATGGCTACATTTAAAAGATTGTATGAACAATGTACAAATAAATGATAGCATGTATAATCTGAAGAATAATTATGTATTTTGTAAACAAAAGGTCAAACATAACAGATATCAGAGATTAGCAAATTGCTTAAAAAGCTACAACAGAAGCTTTGGAACCTTTTACTGATGCTATTAGTGAACTTACTACATTCCAGTTTAACACAAATTCATAGTCTCTTTCTCATTTTTCAGTGCGAAATGAAAGACAAAGTGCCTTTTTATTGAATAACCTTAGAAGTAAGGACGATGCCAGTAATCTCCGCAAATTTGCAAAAGATGATATTTTAGGTGAAGCCAAACTTACATCTTAAAAGCCTGAGATTTGTAGAAACAAAAACAGACTTAGGAGGACAGGTGAGAAATGTATTCTCCCCAACTAGTTAGTCATGGGGATTTAAAATGAAAGATCTTTGGGGCACAGAGGAAGAATTCTCCTTATCCAAGTCGAGGATCAACCACTTACCTTCAAAATGGCTAAGTGCACTAGACAAAGCAAAGCGTACAGACAGAAATGACATACTAGCTGTAGTGCGTGGATGTGTATTCCACAACTAGCCAGGCATTCCTCTCACCAAAGCTGTTCCAGTTTGCTACAACACTTAGCTACCTGACAATGTGAAAAATTGCCCAGGCGTGTCCAATCCACAAAAATCAGGACCAATTCAATCCAGCCAATATCGCCCCACCTGTCTGTTCTCAGTTATCAGAAAATTGAATGAGTTCCTGACTGTGCAGTCAATCAGCATTTGCTCACAAATAACCTGCTCACTGATGCTCAGTATGAGTTCTGCCACGATCACTCAGCTCCAGGCTTTATTACAGCCTCAAACAAAAGAGACAGAGGAGTGTTGAGCCTGGCACAGACCCCTGACTTCAAGGCCACATTTGGCTGAATATGGTTTCAAAGAGCCATCACAGTAGCAATTGGGTGTAAACTCTCCACTCGCTGCAGTCATACACAGCATACAGGAAGATGATTGTGGGTTTTTTTGGAGGTGAATAACTCCCAGAACATTGCTTCAAGAATTCTTCAGGACAGTGTCCTTGGCCTAAAATCTTCCCAAACTTCATAATGACCTTTCATCCCGCAAATGGTCAGCATTAGGGATGTTGACCATGATTGCAGAGTTTGGCCCCACTTGTGTAGTGAAGCAATCATCTTCATCTGCATCAAAGTAGCAACAATATTCTTCAGGATTGCTAAACAGCAAATGACATTTGCACCACACAATGTCAGACAATAACCATCTCCAACAAGAGAGTCTTTAATCACATCTCCTTGACTTTCAATGATATTATCTGTCATTATATAATTAGAAACTTAATTAAACAGTTTCAAAAACAATGTGGCGACATAAGCAGGTCAAATTTTAAGATTTCTGAGGGAAATAACTCATCGCCTAATTTTGCAAAGCCTGTCAATCATCTGGTAGGTATATGTCAGCTTGGTATGAGGGCAGCTCCAATGAGTGTCAAAAAGCTCCACACCATTCAGGATATAGCAGCCCACTTGTTTGGCAACCTTAAACATTCACAGTTTTTCTAAAACAACAATTTTACTGTCTATCTCTTTCTGAAAAGTATTTTAATTATTAAAAAAATGGATCTTGATTCAGGAACAAAAGTGATACAAAACAATAATCAGATTTAAAAGGGGAATAGATCGTCCTGGTGAGTTTCTCCGTACCAGTGAGATAGGCTGCACCACACCATGAGGTTTAGTGGTGGGCACTGACTGTTTTTCTGTTAAACTCTCTGTTTCTGTACCACCATTGTCAATTGCAAATTCCACACCAGCATCTTCACTTTGGGAAATCAATATTCCAGTTTTCTGTTCAATCCAATCACCATATGTGCTTGTACTTGTGTAAACGCCAGGCTTAAAACGCTGTGCACAGCCTTGTCCCCAGCTTACGACTCCAACCACGTAAAACCGATCTGTACCTTTCAGCTGACATGATAGGGGTCCACCACTATCACCCTAAAGGAAAAATAAAGGCAGACCAGTATCACTAAGTGTTGCCTGTTCACAAGCACCAAGAAGGCATTTTATACATATATTTGCATTTTACATACATTTTCAGTTTGTTTTATTTTATTTTATACATATTGTTGAGGTTGGTTGGCTCGCCGAGCTGGTTTGTTGTTCCGCAGACATTTCGTTACCGTGCTTGGTAACATCCTCAGTGCAGCCTCTGATGAAGCGTCGGTGTGTTCTCCCGCCTGGTTTTTAAACTCTTGGGTCCATTGCGATGGATTGCCTCACTTCTGGGTTTCCTCCGTGATGGAATGTATATGGGGTCGAGTTCAATGTGTTTATTAATAGCATGCTTTGTGGAATGCCATGCTTCCAGGAATTCTCGTGCTTGTCTCTGCCTAACCTGTACCAGGATCTTGGTGTTGTCCCAGTCGAAGTCGTGGTTCTCCTTGTCCATGTGGATTCAGATGAGTGAGTATTGGTCGTGTCTTTTTGTAGCCAGTTGGTGTTCATGTTCTCTTGTTGTTAGTTTCCTTCCTGTTTGTCCGATGTAGTGTTTCTCGCAGTCTCTGCAGGGGATCTTGTAGATGACATTGCTCCTGTCCACGGCAGAGAGTGGGTCTTTAGTTCGGGTGAGCACTTGTCATAGGGTTGATGTGGGCTTGTGTGCCACTTCTACGACCACTGGGCATCAGCCACAAGCACGGTAACGAAACATCTGTGGAACAACAAACCAGCTCGGCGAGCCAACCAACCTCAAAACCCACAATCCGAGCTACAGATCTACTCCAAAACCTTAGATTTATACATATTGTTGAGGAAGGCACAAATGCAATAAAACTTCAAGTATTGCAGCATTAACTTACTTTAGAACAATAGGAATGACACAGCATAGAAGGAGGACCACTTGGCCCATCTTGTCCATGCCAACCCAAAGACGCCCAGATGCCCTTTCTAATCCCATCTTCCTGTACGTGGCATATAGCCCTGCAGCTTACAGTACTTAAAGTGCAGACCCATGTGCTTTTATTTTAAATGTGGATAGCATGTAGGTAACAGGATTTATAGTGTCACACAAAGTATCAATGGAGCAGACAACCAGAGTGCTTAAAGAAACACTTCTACCGTTTGAGAGGAGTTCTGCCATCTATAGCATGAGGGTTACAGTTTGCCAAGATCCTCTATATTCTAAAAACTTCCCCATCAAGAGGGCATAACCCTTGCTGACAGGAATTTGATAAGGAAGTGGATGCTCACCAATGTGAATGCAATGCCAATTCTCCAGTTCCACAGCTTGCCCTTTATAGCTATGAATTTTGGGTGGAAATCCTAAACTATGGAGATTGCTGATAGGTGAGAGATGGAGATGAGATGCATGGAGCAGACTGTTGAGGCTACTGATGCAATTAATAGGCTATGATATTTGAAACTAAGGCTTTTGGCACACTGGCCTTCATCAGTCAGGGCACTGAGTATAGAAGTTGGGAAGTTATGTTGCGGTTGTACAGGACGTTGGTGAGGCTGCACTTGGAATACTGTGTTCAGTTTTGGTCACCTTGCTTTAGGAAGAATGTTAATAACTGGAAAAAGTGCAGAGAAATTTACAAGGATGTTGCCAGGGCTTAAGGGACTGAGTTACAGGGAGAGCTAGGACAAGCCAGGACATTTTTCTTTACAGCATAGGAGACTGAGGAGGGGTGGATTTTAAAGAAGTGTATAAGATCATAAGAGGCATGGATAGGGTGAATGCATTCAGTCTTTTTCCCAAAGTTGGGGAATCAAGGACTAGAGGGCATCAGTTTAAGGTAAGAGGGGAAAGAATACATGGGAACCTGAGAGGCAACTTTTTTTTTTACGCAGAGGGTGGTACGCATATGGAATGAGCTGCCAGCAGAAGTGATTGAGGCAGGTACATTAACAGCATTTAAAAGGCATTTGGATGAATACATGGATAGGAAAAGTTTAGAAGGATATGGGCCAAATGCAGGGAAATAGGGTTAACATGGATGGACGTTTTGAATGCCATGAACCAGTTTGGGCCGAAGGGCCTGTCTCTATGCTGTAGGACTCTATGACAACTCGTGTGAAGTCACTGAACTTTTTGCAGCACTCCTTGCTGGGACTAACTGTGACATCTATCCGCTCCTACCCACTGTCTTATCAGTGTCTTTCTGAGGGCCAACCATGCAGCAGGCTCTCCTCCTGTCTGCCTCCTATAAAAAACCCTCTGTTGCTGTTTTAGAAGAGCTTAAAACCCACACGCTACTGGATAGTATCATTCTTGTGCTGTTCCCCAGCTAAATATCATTCTAGTATCACTGCTCCAGGTAAAATGCATCTCTCTTTAAGAACTGTTGGCTGGCTTTACACAGGACAGGTCAGCTGAACTTGTGCGACCTGCTCAGAATTCCGTACAACCTGCAAAGGTGTGCAACTTGACACTAGCTGCGTGCCACAATCATGTCAAAAAAAAAGGAAACGCAACGTTTGCATGCTACCTACAATCAGAAGAACAAAATGGGGCCAGGTTAATCCCACAATATAGGCCACAAAATTCATATGTTGTGAATCGAGCTCTGATCATACAATGAAATGGTATTCTCAAATTACCAGCCAAGGAAACTGGGTTTTACCTGACAGGCATCAATGCCTCCGCCTGCAAAACCTGCACAGATCATTTTATCGGTTACGCGGTTGCCGTACCAGTTGACCTGTTGACAAGTTTCCAAAGAAATCAATTTAACTTCAGCTTCCTGAAGTATACGTGCCGGTGCACCTAATCAAAAATAAGGATGTGTTAATTTTTTGTGGAAAAAACATATTGCGTATGCCAACAAAATTAGCATTGGTACAGCTTAAATGAATGATCTACTTATGATCGATGATAGAAAATCCTCAATACTTTCCACAGAATATCAAACAAAAGAAAAACATCAAAAGTTCCATATTTCAGGATGATATGTATTATATATAGCCACTGAGTTTTTAAGTTTTTCTGTTCACTACATTCATAGAATCCTTTCCATGTAAGTCTCATTTTCCTAACCGTCTGGCTTTGGCCTTAGTGTTCTGCAGAGATGTGATTCTAGTAATTGTTGTTGACATTCATCCTGGGCAGTATATGATGGATGTTGATTCTCCTGTGGGAGGAGCACTGAACAGATGAACTTCTCTGTTCCGAATGATATTAAGTTTCTTGAGTGTTGTTGCAGCTGCACCCATACAAGGAAATAGCGAGCATTCCACCTTGAGACACATAGATGGTGAAAAAATTCTGAGGAGTCCAGAGTTGGAGCTCTCCAGCTTCTTCCATACTCTTGTATTCTCTGATGTTTGTAAGGCTGGCTCACTTCGACTTCCGGTCAATGATAAATCAAATATATTAATTAGCGTCCCCTCCCAATTCAACATAATGATAGGGATGGTTGCTACTGAATTATCTGTATGACCACGTTCACCATTCATTAAATAATTAACTACCCAATCCCATCCCCTGATTAATTCCTCTTTATTGTCTTACAATGGGACAGTTATAGCCTAGATGAAGATCTTTCACATGTGGAAATAAGGAGGAAATTACTCAAAAAAAAATTCACTTACAAATACACGGGACTCAGAAACACAAAGCTCCTTACAGTGATATAATTTCTACACCAATACTGATAACTTATGTGAACAAATGTCTTTAGATAAATTAGCTTGCCTTAGAAAGTGATTATTTCAAAAAAGAATTGGACAACAGTGTTACAAGCCTGTTGAAATGTTGAGGAACTATTTCTCTCTGTGGGAGCAGCTTGAGCTCTTTTCATGTTAATGCCAACTAAGCAAAGATTGACAGTTGAATCTGCTTATTATATTTTTCTTTGTCACTTGTTCAAATTCATTTGCCTTTTCCCACAATGTGGATTTTCTGTGATGCTTTGAAATCTTTGTTCGGATTTTGATGTAAAAGTCAGGTTATGTTCTTGTCACTTAGTTTGCAGTATTAACTTCATTCGATGAAATGTATTCTCAGCTCCATGAATCATTTAGGTACAATGAACAACTGTACCTCTGTCAATGACAGTCAATCTCCAGTTTTCTCATTTACCACCATTCATCGCTATTAGGTCACAACATTTGTTGTGTTCAGATTCAGATAACTCCAACTGGTTTCTGATTTGTGAGATAGTAGAAGCGTCCAGACCCGAAACATCAGCCTTTCTGCTCCTCTGATGTTGCTTGGCCTGCTGTGTTCATCCAGCTCTATACCTTGTTATCTCAGATTCTCTAGCATCTGCAGTTCCTACTATCTCCCAACGCGAAACGTCAGCTTTCCTGCTCCTCTGATGCTGCTTGGCCTGCTGTGTTCATCCAGCTCTACACCTTGTTATCTCTGGTTTCTAATTTGTGTCAGCTTGTCACCAGAAGTAAGTGAAGATGCCACTTGTCAGACTTTGCCGTATTTCCACTTCAAAAGTAAGTAAAAGCAATTTCAGATGTAACTGACTGTGATGCCAGAACAGCTGTAGTTCAGGAAATGTTCTCTAGCTGTTCAGTTCCGTTCCATTTTCACAGGCAAAGGCAGCTACATAGCAGGTGCATATCCTTCTTTCTCTGCAGCAGTTGCTCCATCTAGTGGTATAGTTGGCCTGGCACTGACAGTGCATGAAGTTCCAATACAGCACAGCTGCTAAAATACTTTGGCACGGCACTTGAATCCCAGGAAGCATTATCAAGTTGTTTCCATTATCCTCAAAAATGGAAACATGTCCAAATAATGACGAGTGGCGTGAAGCCAGTTGAAGTGGTTGTTAAATTGCTTCAGGCGTTGGACAGTGTCTGTCAAAGGTATTTGAGAGATTTACAAAGTAATAATTCATATCAAAGGTCATTCAAAGAAAGCATTACTCCTCTTCCACAGAAAAGTGATGCCAGGATAACAAACTTAGGTTGTGTACCGGACTTCATCGACATATTATCAACATATCAATGACTGTCATAGTCTATTTTGCTACTCAACGTGCACACAGTATGGGTACTTAGCATAGCCAGACATTGGCTTTGTCAACAATTTTGGTGGAGTGTCAACATTATTGAAGCAAGCTTTCCACATCAGCCCTAATAAGAAACAACTGATCCAATGTTTTAGGTACGTGTAATTAGATTAGAGCCACTGCTTCATAAATTTCACGGGAATATGGAATACTGAAAATATCCATGTAACTGCCTCCTCGTGGTCTAACTTTACCTTCTTCATTATCGTGACATTTCATTGTCATAATAATATTCTTTGGCATTTAAGGCCATCTTCATGATGCAACTCCTTCTCCTCTGATAAGTTTTCTACTGAATCAAACATGCTAATTATTTAAAGGTTGAACAAGTGTATTGTTGTTATCATCACCACTGCAGTTTTGGTAATTCAAGGAATAAATCAAACAAAACTGATGATGGACATTAAGTTCCTTTCTTTTTTGCAAAAATAGCATAAAGATTGTTGCATATAAACAGATTTGTCACTGTAAATAATTCCACACTGTCCCTTGAAGTCAGATTTTGCTCATGCTTACAATGTTACTAATTTTTTTTGTTCCAGGATATTGATAGGAATGCAATGAAGTTTTAACAACTGTAATTGTTTTCGTCTGCATTTTTAAAACTTCACAACTTCAATACAGCAAGTTGATAACACTTGGTCCATTTCAATGGTCTTTCTTTTCTCTAATCTGCAGAGTCAATGGTACAGTTGCCGTCTGGATTCAATCAATGTAATGAGAAGTGATGTGGGCATTGGGGTTGCGGGAAGCTGTTGCTGGCTGGTGTTCTGGACAATTCCTATAATCCCTCAAATGTAAATGCCCGAGTAGCAAAGTTAAAAATAATGTCAATAACTCTCCCAATGACTGGTAAAAAAAAAAATCACTTTTTTATTTACAGTGTAACTGGTCTTTTTTCTGCCAAAGAACATACATCATTAAAAGTCAGATTTTAATATGGTCTCTACGGAGACCTATAACAGTTTAAACAGAAATTTGAATCTCCAGTTATTAAAGGATGACACATAAACATTTTATGTTTCTAAAGAATGTTTACTATATGAGTGACTAGATACAGAACACTATTAATTAAACACTACATTCTTTACATAGGCAACTTCCATTTTAAACCTCCAAAGTGAATTGGCCCTTTTCTGCTTTACTGGCAAGCAAAAACCTCAACCTTGTTGTTAATGGAAACTTTCACTTCTCCTGGAACCAATCCAAAGTGTTTTACAGCTTCCAAGGGTTTAACTTCTGTTCTTTGTCCTCCCTCAATACCATCTACCACAGTGACAGTTTCCATAGACATTCTCCTCTAGCTTCGGCTAGGTGAGCCCTCTAACCTTGTTTTGAAATCCACGTCAACTTGGTTTTCAATTTGACCGTCAGCTGCCACCCATTTTCGCATGAAAATCCAGAGAGTCAGCATTTTCTCTGTTTTAGGTGCAGACTTGGACAACATCTATTTTTTGCTATATCCTCCCCTTCTCATTTAAGAGAAAAACTGCAATTCCCTTCGGTCTGTGATATTTTGGGTTTATAGGGAAATAAATAACCTGATCTAAAATAGCATGCTCTATCCCCTTCTGTATGAGAACAAGAACTTTATTAGCTTTGTATGCAAAGAGAAACATTAATCAGCTATCTCTGATCATAATAGCCTTTTATTTAGAAACACAAGGACAGGTTCTAGCACAATATTTTCCAATGTGATATCAAAAACACCTTACTGGGTCATAGGAGACCTTGGGGCTCCTCATTGTGGATTTATTAAACACCTGTCAGGTGTTAAAATCCAGCACCTCCATCTCAATAATGTAATCGAACCCTCTTTGATTTTAACAATTAAAAACCCCAGCCTAATTGTCAGGAAGACTCCAACATAGATCACTAACTCCTTTCATTTCCCTGAAATTTAGACACAGTCTCAAACTATAGCCATCTTACAAACCAAAAGACATAGTTCTATAACGTAATGATCCCATTAACCTCACAGTTGAAAAAATATCAATCACAAAAAGTTTGTTTTGGCAATCTATGAATGTAGACTGGCAGAGCAATTTTTTCAGTGCATTCCACTTTGCAAATATAAGTTTGAGTTATAAGGAGAGGCTGGGTAGGTTGGGAGTTTTTTTCACTGCAGCATAGGAGTTTGAGAGGTGACCTTATAGAGTTATATAAAATCATGAGGGGCATAGATAAGGTGAGTGGCAGGTATCATTCCCCTAGGGTGGGGGATTTCAGGACTAAAGGATATATTTTTAAGCTGAGAAGTGAATGATTTTAAAAAAAGACATCAGGGCACAGACAGTGGTTCATGTGTGGAATGAACTTCCAGAGAAAGTGATGGATGCGGGTACAGTTACAACTTCATAGAGTCATAGGGTCTGTTTCTGTGCTGTATGACCCTTCAGTCCAACCAGTCCATGCTGAACATAATCCCAAACTAAACTAGTCCCACCTGCCTGCTCCTGGCCCAGATCCTGCCAAACCTTTAATATTCAGGTACTTAGCCAAATGTCTTTTAAATGTTGTAATTGTACCCACATCCACCACTTAAAAGACATTTGGATAAGTACATGAACAAGAAATATTTGGTGGGACATGGGCCAAGCACAGGCAGGTGGGACTAGTTTAGTTGAGATTATGGTCATCATGGACTGGTTGGACCGAAGGGTCTGTTTCCGTGCTGTATGACTATGAATGGAGTTTCACACTCCAGCAGAGCAAAATAAAAAGAGAAAGGATGGTCTTGAACTGCCCATCCATCAGCATTTAAATGGAGGAAACGTTATGAGGAACATGGATCCGAGTTTCTGATGTGCACTGTTTCTTGTGGGCACTGGAAGCATGCATCTGGTTACCTCAAGCCCCAAGTATTTTTTTATTCATTGACAGGATGAGGGCATTGCTGGCTAAGCAGCATTTATTGCCCATCCCTAATTGCCCAGGGGGCAGTTCATAGTCAACCACATTACTGTGGGTCTGGAGTCACATGTAGGCCAGACCCGGTAAGGTTGGCAGTTTCCTTCCCTAAAGGACATTAGCGAACCACATGGGTTTTATCAAAACAAAGGGAGAGAGCAAGTAATTCAATTCAAACAAGGTTGAATGTGTTTTGGCAATGTTTCATTGATACTAAGAGAATGTAGTGATGTTGAGCCCTATTGTATATTGTACATTCTCTCATATTGTGTCTTTTCTTTTATCAAAAATACAAGTTAATCTGAATGGCAATAACATGCTCATATTCAGAGTATATATATTTCCTCTTGTTTTAGATAAATGTAACACCTGGAATCCCTTTGAATATTGAAACATTAGGATGCAACACCATATTCACCATAACTGCAACATAACTGCACAGGTAAAGTGTTACTAATTAAATTTGTAGTTACAAAAATTATTCATTTTGTGTTTCAATAAAGAATGGGGTTTCTCAAAACCACAGTAAAGGTTTACACAGCAGAAGCGACTGTCTCTGTTATCAATTTCTCCAATGCCCAGTCAGGTTGATCTACAGCGGCATTTCCAAAGTAAGATAACGCGGAAATTTAAGTCTATCCCAAAAACTATTTATTATGACAATACTACCCTTTAAAAGTAACTTTATGATTTCTCGATATAAATATTGCTGGGAAGAATACTACCATTTTGTTCCATAAGTCCCCATCCAGTAACATGACAATGATTCCATTTCTCAATATGAAATTTGCCTGGTTTTGGTAAACATGCCGCTCTGATGTAGTCTCCAAATCCGATCACTCGGTCCACTTTAAGCACTGCTATGTCATTTTGGATATTGTTGTATTTTTCATGCAATATTAAGACATCAATTTTCCGAGTAATTGTCCATTTAGAGTGGATTGACAGGTCTCTCAGTCCCATCACAGCTCTCCAATGATTTTTATTACTATCATGATACAAAAGAAAACAGACATGTTGAAACCAAAAAGCTGAATGGGTTCCTATCTACATTACAGCAATAAAGCCTAAATAATAGCAGGTCTTGACAATGTCTGCAATTACTATCAGAGAAACATTCCTGATCAATATTTTTATAATAAAATCTAAATAAAATTAGTCTTTCATGATATATGTAATTAGTACTGCAGGTATGTATTTATTTGATATTAGATGTTACTTAGTCTAATTGGAAGGGTAAGCTTTTGTGCTTTAAAGCAGTAACTGGATATTGACTATGCTGTCAACTAATTGGTACTCAACCAGCCAGTTTTAGTGAAAAAGGCCTCAGACTGAAGTTGTAATGATGCAAGGCCAGTCTCTCTTTCCAGAGAACGGTCAGCAGTTTGCCCTACCTCTACTATTTGTGGTCTGGGAAAACTTTGAGCTATTGGTGAGATGACATCTGAAGTACTGTATACAGTTTTGGTCTCCCTATTTAAGAAATATTAGTAACAGTGCAGAGATGTCTGACTCAACTGATTGCTGGAATGAAAGGGTTGTCTGAAAAGGAAGGGTTAGACTGATTGGACCTGCATTCATTGGAATTTAGAAGAATGACAGGCAAATATATTGAAATCTATATGATCCTGAGGGAATTGATGGGGCAGATGATGGAAGGATGTTTCGACTTGTGGGAGAAACTGGAAGAGGGGAGCGCAGTCTTTATAAAAAGAGACTTCTCCCATTTAAGATGAAGTGGAGCCAAAATCATTTCTCTTAAGAGTATCATTGGTCCGTGAAAATCTCTTCACTAGAGGGCAATGGAGGATGTATCATTGAATATTTATAAGGCTGAGTTAAATAGATTCCCAATTGACATGGGAGTTAAAGGGTGTAGGGCTTAAATGGCACAGTGGAGAGGGGGTAGACAAGAAGATAGAGGGTACCATCAGATTAGCTATGATTGAGGCTCAAGGGGATGAATGGCTGATTCTTACTCCTAATTCATACGTTCATGGTGACAGTGAGTACAAAAACAAAGTAAAAAGGTTTCTCGAATACTGAGAAGTACTAGATCCTCAAAATAATGCATCCAAATTGTTAGCAAATTTACAAGAAATCCATCCCAAAATTGCTCAGTTCAGTCGTCAAACTCCAAGGCCAGAGTTAATGTTGCCAGTTTCAACATGATCTGGAATGTACAGGATTTAAAGACTGATCTCCATGACATTGCTATGGATAACAAGGGGTGCAGGGATTCACTGGGTGCTTTTGTTTGGTGGTTCTAAATACATAAACTGCAAGACAGAAAAGATGTTTGACTAACGATCAAGGATCATTCAACGGACAATGGAAAATCATTTCATCTTCCCTGGGAAGGTTTTGCACAAGGTGGCAGGACTTGGCAGGTGATCAATAGTAGATAGCAGGGTGATGAGAAAGAAGGACTATGAGGCAGTCTAGTACAGAATTGTAACTTGCATCAAACAGGAAATAGTGAAGTTGATGTAGCAAAAACAGTTAGTTTAAGGAACTGATATTTCTAATCAACCCATTCAGAAACATTACGACACACTTCTGGTGCAGATGGGACCTGGACTCAGGCTTCCTGGCTCATAAGTGGGGAAACTGCCACTGAATTATGAGAGCCCTTGGTTTAAGGAACAAACTTAAGAATGTTTACAGCCGGACTAGGTTAGAAGTCTAGAAGATAAAACTAAATCTTAAATATTTATGGCTTCTACAAGTGGTTTCACTTAACATTGCACAGCTTGTGGGTGGAACTTTCATTTTAGTTAATATCAACTGATGGATGTTTCAGGCCTGTAAGGCAGTGGAAAGAGGCAGGGGAATGGGAGTTTCAGTGCCTGTCCACCCAAGGACAGTCCTGTGCATCTGGGCTACAAGGAGAGCAATGGAGGTGGAAGGTGATAATGAACACTACAGGCAGATCAACATATCAAAATGTTACGATTGAAGTCACAGAGGCCACTACTAGTCTCTTAGACTAGGGTGGACTTGGCAGAAGGGCAGAAAGTGAGCATAAGGGATTCGAAAAGGGAGTTGTGGGAGAAGTATGCTGGGAAGTGGAAATATGTTCAAGCATCTTGGACAGGAAGAAAATTGTTGATCTAATTTTGCTTTCCAAAGTCTGAAAGTCACAGAGTTGAACGAACAACAAGATTTTGCTGCTGTTCTGAAGAAGGGCCACTGGACCTGAAATGTTAACTCTGCTTTCTCTCCACAGATGCTGGTGAGTTTTTCCAGCAATTTCGCTTTTTGTTCCTTGTTTCTGTGCCTCCCTCTCCGATGAGAAATTCTGACATTACTCCAGGATCATTCTGGACAATCGGGATAAACCACAACTCCTTTTAATCGAAAAATTTTACTCTCCCCCCCCATCCATTCCATCCTTATCTCTAACAACAAGTGTAGGAAACTCCTGTACTTCCACTTGTAATCTATTGCAATTTTGTGAATTGAACTTCACTCTTAACACTTGTGCTGTTGTGGTGTAAAGGGAACTTTTAATCAAGGAGGAAAAAATAAGCAACTCTAGGCTGCCCCATAGTTTCCTACAGAATATTAAAGAATATAAGAAATAACCTTATCTCAAACATACTTGAATCCATTGGTAGATGGAAAGCAGTGCGCTGCTGACAAGAGCCACCATTGGCTGATCACTGTGGCTCCACACACGTGTGCATGTTTGTTTGTTACTTGAAGGCTGACTTGCCAAGGCCAGGCACCTTCCACTGCATCCCGACCTCCTACTATTCGGGACTGACTTGTTCTTACTGTAACAGCTCTTTTCCCACATGCTGAAAAGAAAGATGTTTTAATTTACTAAGCTTAATTTCTCACTATTTTACCAAAAGAATACATAAGATTTCTTCATAGAGGCATCATTGGTGGTCTGGAGCCAATGCATCCCCCAGTAGGTCAAACTATTAAAGACGATGTTCAGTGCTTGCTATAGCCAACAACACACTAACAAGATCAGCACAGACTTTTTGGGATGTTAAGATTTTGGCACTGTGATGGCAGTTAAAAATCAGCTGTATATATACATATATATATATAGCTACTGTTTTTTGTAAAACATATTGCGCAGTTAGTGGAGATGGTTATATTACCCTTTTTGATCTGCAGTTTGCCAACAGCGAGCTAGAAAATTGGCATAAGGTGATGGCAAAAAGTGATAAATCAAAAACAACTCTATATTTCACACTAACATGTATAGTTACACTGTAAATGTCATTCCTGTTTCATAATTTATGCCACAAATACACCTAATAGTCCATCAGATATCTAGCAGAGGAGTTTTGGCTAAAACTGCAGATGCTTCATTTTGTTTCAGGAGGAGAAGTTGTACTTATTGTGAGGATATATATTGGTATTCACCATTGCTAAGTTTACTTTTAACAATTATTATTGCAGGACTGAATTTCCCCCATCTAACCACTTGGTCATTTCAATACATTTTTTGACCTCTAGTCCAAGCATACTGATACTATTGTCCTCATTATTTTCATCATTGTCATCGGTACTCATAACCCTGCCACTGTTCTCAGGTTAGGCCTCATGCTCCTGCTGCACAACTAGATCCAAAACTGCAACAGGCTGCAAGCAGGAATTGAAATCCCAGAAATCTGTGCTAAAGTAGAAATTCCTGCCTCCCCTTTTCATCCCAGACTCAGAGTATCAATACAAACTATTCTATAACTTGATGTAAATTATCTTCATTTGATACAACCATGAGAAATTTTAAACATTGTTGATTATGATCCACAAATGCAGATAAGTGGACATTGGATCTTAGATGTTTATTGTCCACTTGAAACACAGTTGATTGATGTATTAGATTAATCCATATCCATGTAGAGTAATACATATAATACTGGATAACAACATTCCTATACTACAACAATGGTTATACTTTCAAAAGTTCTTCATTGGCTGTAAAGGACAACTGATAGTTGTGAAAAAGTGCAATATGAATGCAAGTTTTTCTTTCCTGTTGGATCAGTAACTCCAAGGTCATGAGTACAAACTGCGAAGCCGGAATCAATTAATCTGGCAAATTGAGAATTATCACCAATAAGAAATTGTGAAAGGCGCTAAATACTCAAAAACCCAAGCAATTCACTAATATCCTTCAGCGAAGGAAACCTGCCAGCTCTCCTTGTTCTGGGCTTAATGTGATTTCAGTTTACATGACAAGAATGAGTGGAGAAAAATGACTCCATGATGCTATTAAAAATTAGACTCAGCAACAAATGGCATCAATTCACGTCCACATGAATCCTGATGTTCTAAAGAATGAAGGAAAGCCTCTACTACAACTGTTGCCATAATTTTCAAACTATGTTAAAAATGCCTGTCAGTTAAATTGTGGCATTGCCTGTTAATGCCTTCAGAAGTGGTGGAACAACCTATTCAATTGTACAAATGGGCACAATTCTACAATTAGAATGGGCAATCAATACGCAATTGCTTACATCACCTGCATGCTGGAAAGAAGTTATTTTTGCACAAGCATAAAAGCAAATAGTCTGTACCATTTCCATCACATCATTATAAAATCCTTCAATTGCTTTAACCAGTGTTGAAAGTAACGTTAATCAGTAAAATGTTAAGCTAAGATGTGGGCACTATGTGGTCTTTTGAAATTAATCTATTCAGAGAGAATATTGTGCACCTCTGCAGCAGGTGGGACTTCAGCCCAGGATAGTAACATAACCACTGTAACACAAGATGGCCAGTCAAGCCCATTGCACCTGGTATTCCCAGGCAGTTTCCCCATCCAAGTACTAACCAGGCCTCAGCCTGCTTAGTTTCCAAGAACAGGTATTTTCTGACCAATATCACCACAGGCCACTGGCCACTGTGTGTTTCTAGTATGTGATGTTGGTTACCTTAATGTGTTGCCAGGTGCCTTGGGGACAAGCCAATGTGGAAGACACCCAATCTTCTTTATCCCTTTATAAATACGGAATTTGTGGAACATTTCCGTCAATTTAGCAGTAGTAATAAGCTGGAATAGGAGCATTTAAATTGCTCAGTTATATTGTCACCAAAGCCTGGCAGGTGAAATTAACTTAAAAACTGCTGACATTTCAACACTTTGCTTGAAGAAATTAACATTTGGCAGATATCATTGGTGACAACATTCTTTCCCAAGTCATGGCATCAACAAATTCAAGAGAGAATCGGATAGCTACTGGCCTGAGAACGGTGTGAAAGATGGAGGACTTTTTGAATTTCTGATTTAGACAGTTAGATAGCATTGGAATCTTCTAGTTCCCATTTCCTGTTTTCTACCAGGTCATTAGATTGAATCTCCTCATAATAATTTGGGAATGTATTTCAAAATAATCAAATGTTGCTGATCTTTAATATTTGTTGAAAGGTACTGTGCATATACCAACTTGCTATGGTTAAAATGTAGACAACGTTTGTTTCAAAATTAAATTTCCATATAATTTGTAAAATTGAGTATAAAATAGTGGAAGAATATTGGCTGGGGCCAAGATTTGGTCACAGATAATATTTTCTCATGGCCTTGAGAATGCTGTAATTTTTGTTAACTTCAGAATTTCAGCTTTTTCATAGCTTTTTGAAGTTTCATCAGATCTGTTAGATTGTATTGACCTTTGTAATACCGGAAAAGACTAGAAAGCAGTCGCTGTATGAAAGATGACATTCCTATCTACCTTTTAATCATAAAGACTGAAGGTTATGCTTGACAGTTGAAATCGTTCATTTTCAACCTGGTACATATAAAATATATCAACAGGCACAAAGACCAACGACTACCAGCTTGTTTCTCCAATCCCCTCAACTCTTTCTATCCCTTTTTAAAAACAAGTGAATATTAGTTATGGCGAGAACGATAGTGAGCCAGCAAACTTTACCTATTCGCGAATCGCCATTTGCTAAAATAACGAAATGCGATAAAATGACTGCAGAGAAGAATAGGCCACTAAATACGCCGCTAAAAACTGCTCGGAAATCCGTGTTCATTATCCAGATTGGTTTGACTGCCACAACCCTCAGCAAAACTGCAGCGAACGTCACGCTGTCACTTTATGACGATAAATATCCAATGAGTGCTCACTTCACAATGTCCTTCAGCAGAAAAATAAAAGGGCAATGAATGCAGGGAGGCCTTAAATGAAATTGGATAATAACACCTCAGACCAACTTAATCAGAAAACAGTTTCCTTACTGTCTGAAGGGTACCCCGTTATAGGCTAATACCACAGAACTCTCAGAAGCCACCTCTCAGGCTAAGGTCGACAAGAAGGGACCGTTGTAGCAATCTCAGGTGGTGTGAGGAATTGAAACCCACGCTCTTGCTATCAGTCTGCATTACTAACAAACTGTCTAACCAACTGACCTAAGACAGTGATGCCCACAGCCCATGAGTGAATAAGAAACTATATATTTCACCTGGTTCCAACTGAAGTACGACAGCTAGTAGGAAGATAATGTTTTTAATGACTTTGGGATCATTAGTCTCCTTCAGAGAGACATCAGGAACTCATCCCAGTCCCTTGTGAATGTCTCCAGTGAATCCACACTCTTGCTTAGTATCATTGGAATTTGAAAGGCCTATTATCCCTGTTACACATTCCAAAGGGGTTTATGGATTTAGAAAAGGAAATTCAGGATCAATTATTCCTAGAGGAGCGAAGGTGAAGAATTGGTGGCCAAAGAAAAGCTGTTTTGCAGCTGAACATCAGTGTTTTACATTCAGTTTGAGGGAGAAGAATTAGCCCGAGTTTGGTATTTTAAACCTTGAAAGGATAATTATTGACTAGCATGGACATGATGGGCCACAGGGTCTTTCTCTGGGTTTTAGATCTCAATGAGGGCAGAAAGCAGAGCTGTCTAAATTGAATTAGCAAGTTAAGGAATGATTCAGTAGAGATGCAGTGGCAGACGTTCATGGGATATTTTAGATAATACAAAATAGGTACATTCCAATGATGAAAAAAGGAGGACACACCATCTAGGATTTAACAAATAGAGTTTAAAAACATATAATTGTGTAAATCAGAGATTGGAAGATCACAAGGAAACAAAGACTGACTACAGGATTAATAAAGGGGGGAAATTTGTGTATGATAAAAGCTAGCTAGAAACAGTTTTTACTGCTATTTAGAGTTATGGTTTTGTGGAAGTGAAATCATGTTTAACAAATTTATTGGAGTTCTTTAAAGAAGAAACATGCACTGTGGATAAAGAGGAACCAGTGAAAGTACTGAACTTGGATTTTCAAAGGCATTTGATAACGTGTTGCATCAAAGGCTATTGCAGAAAATAAAAGCTTCTGGTGTAGGGGTAATATATTGGCATGGATAGGAAACTGAGAATAGGCATAAATGGGTCATTCCTTTGTTTGCAACATGTAACAAATGGTCAAGGCACAGAGTACAAAACTTGACAAGTCATGTTGCAGCAGTATAGAACTTTAGTAAGGCCGCATTTGGAGTGTTGCATACAGATCTTGTCATCACACTACCAGAAGATTGTGGAAGCTTTGGAGAGGGTAAGAAAAGATTTACCAGGATGTTGCCTGGTTTGAACATATTAGCTAGTGTCCTAGACCCAATCAAGTTCATCTTTTTCATCAATGGTCTTTCCTCCATCATAGGATTAATTTTGAGATTTTCTGCTGATGATTGCAGAAAGTTTAGCACGACTCACAACTCTCCCTGTACTCATCTCCAGTAAGACCTGGAAAAAATTAAGGATTGGGCTGATAAGTGACAAGATAAGTGCCAGGCAATAACACTCTCCAACAAGACAGAACCTAGCCATTTATCTTTAACCTTCAATGGCATTACCATTTGCAGAATCCACCACTATGAAGATCTTGGTGGTTACCATTGACCAGAAGCTGAACTTGTCCAGCCATATAAATACTATGGCTGTAAGTGCAAGTCAAAAGCTGGATGATTTGTGCCAAGTAACTCACCCCCTGATCTATGTTCCCTCTAATTTTTCCTACCATCACGCAGATCTCTGAATTCCATGCACGGCAGCCACCTCCAAAACTGGAAGTTAACTATCCATTTACGGAGATAGTAGGAACTGTCAATGCTGGAGACTGAGATAACAAGTTTTAGAGCTGGATGAACACAGCAGGCCAGGCAGCTTCAGAGGAGCAGGAAAGCTGACATTTCCGGTCTGGATCCTTCTTCAGAAATGGGGGAGGGGAAGGGGTATCTGAAATAAATAGAGAGGGGGAGGCGGTGATAGAAGGTGGATAGTGGAGCAGATAGGTGGAGAGAAGACAGACAGGTCAAGGAGGCGGGGATGAAGCTAGTAAAGGTGAGTGTAGGTAGGGAATTAGGATGGGGGTTGGTCAGTGAGGTGGGAGGAGCGGATAGGTGGGAGAGAAGACGGACAGGTCAAGGAGGCAGGGTCGAGAGGGGGCTGGTCTTAGGATGAGGCCGGGGTTGGAGAGATTTTGAAGCTCCTAAAGTCCACATTGAGACCATTGGGCTGTAGGCTCCCAAGGTGGAATATGAGGTGCTGTTCCTCCAGCTTTTGGGTGGCGTCATTGTGACACTGGAGGAGGCTCAGGATGGACATATTGTCCAGGGAGTGGGAGGGGTAATTGAAGTGGTTCGTGACTGGGAGGTGTTGTCGTTTGTCATAAACCGAGCGTAGGCGCTCCACAAAGCGGTCTCCGAGCCTCTGCTTGATCTCCCTGATGTAGAGGAGGCCACATTGGGAACAGCAAACACAACAGACCACATTAGCGGATGTGCAGGTCATGTACAGGAGGCGACTCCACGACTCCCTCATCCGCTCCACACTCCCCACTAGCCCCACCACCCCCAGCACCTTTCCCTGCAACCGCAGGAGGTGCTATACCTGCCCCTACACCTCCCCCTCACCCCCATCCCAGGCCCCAAGAAAGCCTTCCACATTAAACAAATGTTCACCTGCAACATTCACTTCCTACCTACACTCACCTACTAGCTTCACCCCGCCTCCTTTTCCTGTCTGCCTTCCCTCCCACCTTACCTGCCCCTCCCTCCTAACTGACCAACCCCAATCCCAACTCCCTACCTACAGTCACCTTTACTAGCTTCATCTCTTCCTCCTTGGCCTGTCCGTCTTCTCTGCACCTATCTGCTCCACTACCCACTTTCTATCACTGCCTCCCCCTCTCTCTACTTATTTCAGAGCTCCCTTCCCCTCCCCCATTTCTGAGGAAGGGTCCAGACCCAAAACGTCAGCTTTCCTGCTCCTCTGATGCTGCCTGGCCTGCTGTGTTCATCCAGCTCCACACCTTGTTATTCATTTACAAAGCCTGCCAGTGACTGCATTAGCTGTGCAGCTTACAGGGAACATTGCTGCTGACTTCCCAGAACCTGTGTACCATCTATAAGGGCAAGTCAGGAGTGTGATGGAATATTGTCCATTTTCTTGGATGAGTAAGGCTTCACAGAAACATCCAGAAAAATCAGCTGGCTTCATCAGCATCCTGACCACCACATTAAACTTTCCAGTAGATGCATGGGAATACCACTACATGTAAATTTCTTCCAAATGTTAAGGGGACGCAATGGCCTGGTGTTATTATCACTGGACTGTTAATCCAGAGACCCAGGTAATGTTATGGGGAGAGATAGTAGGAACTGCAGATGCTGGAGAATCTGAGATAACAAAGGTGTAGAGCTGGATGAACACAGCAGGCCAAGCAGCATCAGAGGAGCAGGAAGGCTGATGTTTCGGGCCTAGACCCTTCTTCAGAAATGTTTTTGATGTTAGCAAGGCAGCATGGAGATAATAAATAAGTGGTCAGAGCAGATCTTTGGAGGACCAGAATAAATATGTGGCAAGAGGAACTATTGGAGTTGATTCTCTGCCAATGACAGGATAAATGAGAATGGAACTGACAGATTGCAGTCTCATCCAACGGGACAACAGAGGAGGGGCATTGGAGGGAAGTGTTTTGATCAAACTTGACAAAGTCTGCATACAGGTAAAGAAGGATAGTGAAGGGTAATTTAGCTTTGCTGCAGTTATGTAGGATAATGTTTGTAAGCTTGATAAGCATTGTTTTAATACCATTGTGGACACGTGATTGAATAGATGAAAACATTAAATTCCAGGAAAGATGAGCCACAAATTTGGGAGGAAACAACACTTTCTAGAGCTCTGGACGGGAAAGGGAGTTTGAAGATGGGGCAGTGATTCACAAGAATGAAAGAGTCAAGATTTCTTCTGAGGAAATGTGTGAGTACATCAGATATGAAGGTGAGGGAGTTAGTGTATCAAAGTACTAGATGACTATACCTATTGAGTTTGTTCATTAAGGTCCTGACAGCATTCAAGTCAGCATCACGGACTTCTTGTATTAGGATAGTGTCGTACCTTCGAACAAGCTACAAAGAAATAAAATGTAGAAATTTAATTCATTTGGCATCGCGCAAGAAGAATTGTATTCATGACTCAGCCATATATTTAGAAATGAAACCTGTTTCTTGCACTTTTTTTCCTAAACTAAAAGGGGAATCAATCTTCATTGAAATGATTATACTTTGTTGGCGCATTTTATCACCTTCTAGAAAGTTCTGCAAAATTACTCCATGTTTTTCTCAGTACAAAAGGCAAAATGTGTGTTCTTATTTTCTAATTGCAGGGCTGAGAGAATGAAATGATAGATAAGCCAGCAATAAGCTGAAACTTGCACTTTGTCTTTCTGTGCTCCTAACTTTTCCTCTTCAATGACAGAAAACAGGTTTCTATAACGGTGTTGCTATTTAAGATGTCATTCCTAACTTACAAAGAAAGATGAGGCAGATTCCTATGGGTGAATTGAAATGATCAGGAAAGAATGAACTCATCTGCTGAATTGAATTGATTCAAAGATAATTTAATATCTAACAGACAATCTGTACAAAATGGATTTTCC